TGTAGTTGTGATGTTGATGAGATGGAGATCAAACAACCAACGAATTCGACTCAAGATCCTTTGTTTGCTGACTTGCCAGATGAGACAATACAATTGTTACAACCTTCAAGATGACGTAATCGAGAATAAGATCTTCAAGAATGACATGTTCTTCTTCAAATAGATGGCAAGTTACAATGTATTTGGTATCACGACCTCGAAAGGGACTCCCAATATTTGGTGATTTTACTAGAGGTAGGAATAACTCCTAACGGTGTTCCAAATGTTTTATTTGAAAGAACTTATGAAAGCCTCAACAACAATCAAATAACTAGGTGGTCTTTCTACCCTGATATGGGACACTATTGATGATTGAGAGGCCCTATCAATCATCTTCAAAGAAAACAAAGATCAAAGTATGTAGCAAATATAATTTGCCGCATCTTAGACTTCCTCAATATATGATCACCAATCCTCGTGGAACTCATCTCTAAAAGGGGGGATAATGTCACTAACATATATTTATTATAATTATTACCTAGATGATATGAATAAGTAGAAGTAGATAAAAATAGATTAATTTTATAATATCTTTTAGAATAGCTTCTTAGAAGCTTCATAGACATTATTTTGACTTTACATGTATTTATACTTGATTGATAGATTAGAAGCTTGGTCAACAAGTTAACCACATGCCACACATGTTGGTAGCTTGCAGAACAAGCTAACTATGTGGCTCCAATATAATAAAATTATCTTGCAAGTTAAGATATGTGTTGTCCAAAATCAACATGTTTTTGGAGGTCCTATAGAACATCGCCGCATAGCTCCTAGGTAGATAGTATATATAGAGGCAAGAATGAAGCCTTCTTCACTCTTGTCAACTCTTTTCTTGTTTCTAGTTTAGTTTCAAGGGTCTCTAATTTTCTTGTCTTTTGGCAATAGCCATTTCAATTTCTTTCTTAATATATATATTTAGTTATTTCTATTTTATCATCTTTCTTTGAGAAAAGTCTCACTTATTTATTTGTTTTTATCAAATTCTTGTCTTTGAGAAGTAGCAACGAAAAACCTAACATTTTTTTGGAACAAACTCTCTCTATCCCGACATCGCTCCTTATGGAACTTATTCCTAAAAAGGAGAGACAGAGTAATGTCACAAACATACACATGTAAACCAATAATTACTTATATGATTAGATAGAAATTGATAAAGTAGGTGAAAGTAAGTTAATTTTGTAATATCTTTTATAAAAGCTTCCTAATAGCTTCATAGATGTTGCTTTGACTTTATAGGTGTCTATGATTGACTTTTTAGGTTAAAAACGTAGTCAACAAGTTAGCCATGTGCCACACACATTAGTAGCTTAAAGAACAAGCTAACTATGTGGTGTACACATAAAAAACTTATATTGTAAGCTAAAGCATGTGTCTTGCAAAGTCAACACATATTAGAGGTCCTAGAGAACATCGCCACATAGCTCCTACTTAGATAATATATATAGAAGCAAGAGTGAAGCCTTCTTCACTCTTGTCAACTCCTTTCTTGATTCTAATCTAAATTCAAGAGTCTCTACTTTCCTTGTCTTTTGACAATAGCCATTCCAATTTCTTTTTAATATACATAATTCTTTATTTTTTTATATTTTTTTATTTACTTTCATCAAGTTCTTGTCCTTGACATTGTATTAAAATAAGTTGAATACTATCTAAGATCATTGTTATTTTTTTTCTTTTAGTATCTTTCAAAGATGTCTCAACTTATATTTTTAGTAGATCTTTTTCATTCATTATATGAAACAAGCTTAAAATAATATCTTCTTTAAGTGCCAAAATAAGTTCTATTCTTATCTTTCAATAATAATTTACTCCTAGCAATTCAAGTGAGTGCTCTTTATTCTATTTTTTTTAGATTTTGAGTAACTTATGCTCAAAACATTATGATAATAGTTCAAAGGTATATTATTCATTGAAAATAAGAAATTCTTGGTATATTTTCTTCATCTATCTTTGAAATTTTAGCTTTCAATTTGATAAGAAAATATTCCCATCTTGTTCCAAAAATTGATCTCTTATCATATTATGAAGATTATTTTGTATTTTGTAAAATGTATCTACATTTGATATCCAAAGCCTCTTAAATGTATCAAATATTGAAAAAGATATCAAATCTTGTAAGTATTTACGATTAATTCAAAGTCTTGAATGTGGTCATTATCTAGATATTCTAATCAAAAAGATTAATATTATCAAATCATAGTATATACTATAAAAATATATACTTAGGTACCTACAACTATTTAAAGGCTTAAGGACAACATGTACTTACAATTATCTCCAATTTTTGCAATTCATCAATAATTATGTCTAAATTACTACAAGCCCAACAAGCCAATAGATAAAAAGATCTTGCTAGCCATCAATCCAACCTTATTCCTATTATATACCTATCAACATAGATTAGTATAATAAAAAATAAAATAATACCAAAAAACATTTAGCAATAATATCTATGATTAGATAAAGGTACCAAAGACAAAAATCAAAAATTTACATTGGATCCTCATCTCTAATGTTACCTAAGCAAAAATTAAAAAAATAGATCAAGCAATTAGTATCTGCATGCCATTGAAGATTGCATGTCAAAAGTAAACCAAATCAATAGGCATCCACCTACAATTGATGGTTAAAAATCAAAAAAAAAATTATAATAAAAAAATTATAATAATGTAAAATATAGAAAAGAAAAAAAATTAAAAATTCAATTAAAAAGTACATAATATTAAATAAATACCACTTCAATTCTCCAAATGATTTCTTTTCTACAAACAAAGAATTTTATTTGTTCTTTTGTATATCTTCAGTATAAAAATGATTAAAAAATAGTCAAGTTTGGACTGTATGTGTTTCTTAGAGTGGACTTCTGAACTTAACATTTAAAAAATTTGAAAAAATATTATTATTATCATTATTATTTAATATCAAATTAATAGAAAGTAAATCTATTATTTATATTTATTATCATAAAACTTGTGGATGTATGCTATTGTATCAAAAAAATAAAAAAAATTAAATGATTAGATTTAAAAAGTGAAAATCTTTTGTATACAAATAAGGTGTTGAAGTGATATTATTATAATTTTATCATTTTGTGCAAATTAAGGGGTTTTTGAGAGCCAAGATTTCATGGAGGTGTAAAAGATGGATGATAGAGCCATAAAAAAAAATTATAAGAAGATGAATATTTGAAAAAATATCATAGATGATTTGTAAAATTATTGAGAATCTAACTTATTAGCACTTGATGAGTTATAGATTGGCATAGAAAAGGCTATTAAACAATTTGTAAATGCCATAGAAAGATTTATATATGAATCTACTTAAATATATATAAAAAAAAGACAACTTATTTATTGGAACTCAACTAATAAGTATAAGATAAACTCTCTATAGCTAGATACGTAAAGTATTTCCAAATTAAAAATCACACCACACAACATGGTGGATCCTAATTCACATCTTAGTAGAAGCACACTTTACAAATTTATCAATAGCAAGCTAAGTTTGAAAAGAAAATAATAAACATGTATATATATATATATATATATATTGAAGATAACTATTGCTCCAATCCAAGTGGAGACAACATCAACATGTTGCAAACGAGAGTGTTATTGCTTCTTTAAGCCAAATTATATCTTGGTAGAGAGGCAAAAATACTACCTCAAAACTTTTCATAAGCAACAAGGGTATAAGGGTATGGATAAGTGTCCATGGACAATTCCATTCTTAATACACCAATTGTAAGCAAATGTTTATTACCGTACTTAAGAAGAAATTATGTACTACCAATTAGAGGCAGATTTATGGTGTACCATCTTCTACATTCTTCTCATATTTTAATATGTATGGACAAGGAATCCAGTCATCAATTCATAGAAATAAAGGCCTTAAATAACCTCAGATGGCACTGTTCAAGCAATGGGCACTATCATTGCTATCATCAAAGAGAACATGGATCCTATGCCTCATCAGATGCAGATCATGGTCCCAAGGAGAATGGATATCCTAGAATATCTTTTTGCTGGCCACAATTAGAAATAAATTCAAGCTGGTGCTTCAGAAGTATTAATATGACTTCTTTGAATTTTTTTTCATTAAATATATTTGTAAATTCACTCTCTACTTCAAAGCATTGATTTTTATGTCAATATACTACTTTCCATTTACATATATTGTTCAAAAAAATTGCTTAATGTTTAGTTTGTGCAAATTGATTTATATTTCTTCAAGTTAGTCTTTACTACCAAGGATTAGAATTGGTTGTTATTGTATAATCTATTAATAGAATTTTCATTTAGTTGTGATACTAAGTATGCATGTGTCAATGGTAGACAAATATAGCTTATGGCTTACGACTGATTTCCCAAGCTGCTGTAAGCAAGATTAATGAGTTGTTCCATTTTGCAATTTGCAATTTGTTTACTAAGTAAAAAATATGTGACTTACTTTGGCAATATATTGCAAAATCTACCAAAGGTACGGCACATGTTTTATTTGTGCAGTAGAGAACTGCACCCTTGAGCCACCAAAGCTTGTGCTGTCAAAACTATTACATTTAGAAGGGAAAAAATTTAAAAAAAGATAATACAAGAAAATTCATTTGTATCATTTATGGCAAGATGGATACCCCCAAAATTGCTATTGCACATATGCATGTGTGATATGTTACATTTTATACAATACACATACTGAACCAATATATATCATATAGAACACAAATAATATTATATAGGAAAAATAAACTTATAATAGATATATATATATATAGTTTATATTATTAAAAATTTATTAAATAAATTTTAAATATGGGTATTTCATATGTATATTATATAGGGTCAGAGGGGGTGTGTATCGAGCAAGCCCTCCTTGTGGGGAGGGTCGGTCCCGAGGGTAGTACACGTTGCGTAAAGTAAAAGTGGCCCTCCACGCAGCAGCAGTCGGTGAGAGTTCCCCCCGCCGTGAAGACCGGGCCGATGACGACGCTGTCCCTGGCAGACCAAGCGGGCTTTTCTCACTCGCTCCCTCGCTCCGATTCCGATCGATAAGCGAGGTCAAGCTGCTGGGGGGTCCGTTATGGCTGCATTTTGTGAGGCTTGTTTCTGCAAGTCGGAGTGGCGTCGGAGGTGGTCGCGGAAAGGAGTGAGAGAGAGAGATAGAGAGAGCGCTAGCGAGCAGGGGTTAGGGTTGGATAATTTATGTGAAAGAGCGTTCTTCGAGTAGCTCATTTTAAGTAGAGCATTTTGAGTGGGGGAGTGGGGCGGGCGACAGTGAATTGGGTGGATGCCTTAGATTCTTTTGCCTACCACCTGCAGGGACTGTGGATGCGTTGGAGATTGCACCCTTGGAAGAGGATGTTCTTGATGTTTTAAAATTGAACATGCTTGACAATCGCTCCTGCTACTTGGGCGTTTGCTGAGGGGAGGTCCGGTGGAAGTCGGATGATTGCTTCTCTCTGGATTTGTATTTGGTCACACCCATGGCCCTGTTGGATTGGATCTGCCAACGTCTATTGGCGCGTTGAGAAGAAAAAGTGGTACGTGCGACACTGAAGGATTGAATGGGTGTTTATAGGATGCAAAAGTGGGAGGGAGTTGGTGCAATGGAGGAAGTGCGGAGAGTTGTTCTGCACTGATAGCTCATTTCTCCAATTAGCACCCTTGACATACAGATCAGTAAAGGTTTTGGAATTCTGGGTGTCCACACCCTTACAAGGTGTGACCTTAGATTTCGTCACCTCCTGCTAGAGCTTGATAATCTCATGGCGAGGAGGTGGAAACTTTTTGTGTTGTTTTTCATGATTCGTGCAACCCGGAGGTTTTGTTTCTTTCTTTCCTTTTCTTCATTTTTGTTTTTGGTTTGTGACAATTTTAACCTGCTTGGGGACACGTATTGTTTACGGTGCTGGGTAGGTGATTGATCCCGTTGCAATAGTGCGGATTCACAGAACCTTCATTGCATCTAGAGTGTTGGCACGAATCAGACCCTGTCGAAAAAGGACAATATGGACAATTCTTCTTGGCGTTCGTCGTTGGCGCTTGATTCACGTCAAAAAATAGTAAAAAGAATGTAAGCATGTGAATTTTGAGTCTCAGCTCTGGCTTACAATTTCTCCGGCATCAGCGAAGTGAGGTAGATTTTTTGCTGAGTCGTCGGCTGCGCTCACTGGTCCGGATGCCCGTCTCTCCATGCGTTTCGATGCACGCAAAGGTGTCTACCGATGATAAGTTCCGATGCCGGGGACAATAATATAAATTTACTAGCAGTGTTACGAAATGTAATCGGTGTGGGGTGCAGTGGTTAGTGCCAGGTAGTGGTAGTGAAACTATTGGTACTAACGCATATTGAATTGTACAGTTATAACTACATGCTATAGCGTTTTGCCCGCAAGCGTATTATTATTATTATTATTATTATTATTATTTTAATTTTTTATACCAGATCATGCTACTGTCATGTGCAAATTATTGTCTCTTTATGCGCTCTCATCCGAAAAGTACAAACATGCTGCACCCGAAGGTAGGTCATGTAGGTAAAGTGCGAAAGCGTGAGAGTCAGTAAGTGTGAGGGGCAGTGAAAGAAATGAACGGCGAAGTCTGGCTCGCTCAGCACGTAAAGCAGACGCCACTAGTTGTGATGTGAGGTTCTAAATATCTTGCTAGAGTGTGTCCTGTTCAGGTGTGATTAGATTCCCGCGGAAAGCTCACGGGCACGGATTCACATGTACGTGAGTTTATGTGAACAGTTTATGTGGATGTATTCATGGATGGGTGAGGGTAAGAGGTTATTTATTTGTTTATTTGTATCTTTATAATTTCGGGTTGCATGTTTTTGACGAACCAGGGTCTTGTTTTGTGCCACAGCATGGATACCTTGCAGCGGTACAGGCCAACCGCAGGGTAAGCTGGTAAGGATGAACTTCTGAACCTTGCATCGCGATTGAGAAGAAAATCTTTCAGGCTGCAACGGATCAGGTACAGCTTCTGTTTGCATCAATCTGGATCCTGTGTTGGAGTGATGAGGATTTAGAATGTTCGGATAACTGCTATCTGATGGAGAGCGTGTCTATTGTGCGCAAGTGTTTGCTGTCCGTATGCGCGATTTACAACATGATGTCCGAGTCATTTGTGTTTCTGCCTTGCAAGTTGCATTCGGTGGTTGATAAGAGTGAGCCTAACCTATAAGGTAAGGGGGACAGGTATTGACACATCCCATGGAAATTTCTTTGCAGCAAGATTATTTTGACAAAATTTCGGGGAAGATGACGTCACTTGAGACCAAGACCAATGGAAATCCGCTTCAACGACCTGCTTCTGGATTACCAGGAGCAAGAGGTGAGGCACCGGGAGTGCCTGGAGTTCCAGGATCTGGTGCTTCACAGATGCGGAATATAGCTGGTTTGAGAAATGTAGCCCAGCTCGGAACCCAGCAGCATCTTCAGCAGCAGCAACAACAGCTTCAGCAACTCCAACAGCAGCAGCAGTTTTTAACACAATCACTCCAGGCTAATGGAGCCAGTGGTATTCAAGCCACTGTATCTGGGCTGACCTCTAATCTACCCGGAGTTGCTAGTGTGAGTCAGAATCCGATGTCTGGCATAGGTGGTCAAGTCATGAATTCCACGATTATGAGCAACCGCCTTCAGCAAATGCAACACCAGCGTCAATCTGTTCAACATCAGCAAGTCTCGCAGCATCAGCAGCAGGTATGTTCGCTTTACAGATCTTTTTCCTGCTGGAGCGGCGTGTTTGCTTTCATGGGTCTGAATTGCCTGCTGTAAGCTGCTTTGTTCCATGTCGGTATGTCCAAAGTCATTTCAGTGTATGTAAATGTTTAGTTATTTAACCAACTATTACGTTTTTTTTATTTTTTTATTTTTTTATTTGTCAGATATATTCATAGCTATCTTGCTTCAAATTACACATTTGACTGTAAAGCACTTCAATTTTTGAATGGATCTATTCACGAGTAGGTTAAGGATCGGTTTCTGTTGGTCTGTTCCTGGCTGTGAGGTTTTTGGCTTTGTTTTCGAGCTTTGATGATGTGAAGTGTGAACAACGAGGAAATGGATGACCCTTTGCAATTGTTTATTTATATTTCCATTATTCATTTCCTTGTCACCCAGTGGAAACTCGAGCTGGTAGCTTTATCTGAAAGTCTCGTGCTAATAGAAGCAACATTACAACACTTACCACTTGGTATTTGAGGTTCGAAAGCGGTGCATGATGCATGGTTTTTAAAATTTTAAGTTGCAAAATTGATTGGTTGATGCAGAGTAATCAACAGCAACAATTGCTGTATCAGCAGCAGCAGCAACATCAGGCAGCAGTTTCGAAACAGAAACTGCAAATGCAACAGCAACAGCAACAGCAGTCACTTCTCCAACACCAGCAGCATCAATCGCTGCTACATCAGGTGGGATACTTATGTGTCTTCCATCGTCGATTCTTGAATGAACAGTTCTTTGGTGAGTTGAATTCTTTATTGAAGTCTCTGGTTTGCAATTTTTCTCATTCTCTGACTATTATTTGTGAAGCTTGAGCTTTTATCGGTTACCAACTATTACAAGCAGTACATTTTACCAGCTTTCTTCATTGAATCGGCAACAGCAACCTGTAAGTCAGCTTTTGGTCCAAAGCAATGCTGCACTACAACAGCAGCAACTGCTCCAACAACAGCTTCTGCAGTCTAAACAGCAGCAAGTAAGTGATTTGCTTCTTTATGCCATAGATAAATTTTTCTGTTGGTTAGATTTATGAGGAGTGCTGTTGAAAAAATGGTATAAGTGGAGCGTATTGACATAAGTGGTGTAGTTTGCTGTTACTCTGGTTTCGAAACAACAATAACAACAGCAGCAGCAGACCACTACATCTACTCTATCACAACAGCCACAGCAATTACAACCTATTGTTCAACAGCCTGGTCAGCAGGGTCAGGTTGGACAGCAGCGGCATGGGTCAAATCAACAATCACAGCACCGTATTGGACAGTCAGGTAGGTTTGGAACTTTTTTAATTTATTCTTGTCTGGAATATGGATACTACCATGTGACTACATTCTGTAATGTTCAGTGATATTTAGACTTTTAGCAACTTTTAGGCACAGTAGCATTTTGTCGATATTGACGAAGATGACAATATATGAGGTGGAAAGGGAAGCGATGCAATGAAGTATTGGTAGTCTTACCAGGCTAATTGATATCTTTATTTTTATTTTTTAAAGTATGGTGTTTTCCTACCGTCAATTCATTTGATATTCTGCTTTTCTCTAAACAATGGGTTTCACTTTGTCAATGAATGTAGGAGGTCTGCATCAGCAACACCAACAGCAGCAGCAACAGTAGCAGGGAAACATGTCATTTCAAGCCCAACAGCAGCAGGCAAATATGCCACTTCAAGCCCAATAGCAGCATGCAATTTCTGAGCACCCTACAGGTGTAAAAGCATTCCGTTCCTGTTTCTTCGGCACCACTTAGAGAGCTGATTTTTCTCCTTCTGAAGATAATCTTCAACTTGACATCGTAATTGTCATTGTAGAAAGAATGATTCAGAGTAAGGGAGTTGTATGGAGAAGGAAGCGAGGCACGTCTGGGTGTTGAATACTTAAGGCTTGTATGTTTGTTGTAGCCTTATGCCATCCGAGCAACTGCAGAAGCTGAAGCATTATAAAGATGTTCTGCGGCGAATGATTCCCTACCTGCGTGTTCCTAAAGACAGTGCCAAAGGAGGTCAACCAGGATAAAGGGGATGCTTTCGAGAAGCAGATTTTAAGTATTGTGGAAACTTTCAAGAGGAGGCGGCAGCCGCAACCAACAGCACCTGGTGGGCCTGCTTCTCCTGCACCTCCTCCGGCTCCTCAGGCCGTAGCTCAGCCAGTGCCTGTCCAACATCCTGACCAAGTCAATGTGCCACAAGCGTCACATCCACAACCGCCTCAAGTGGTAATGTGCAGTCTAAGCGTACTGTTCGATTCATGTATTTAATCTAGATCTCTTGGTAGGCGTGTAAAACAAGCGTGAGTTTAACTTTACTTACTCAATCCACCATTTTCCTGCACTAATCATTTTCTACCATCATTGGATTTCACTGTTTCATAAATGACCTAGATGCAGTCTTGTAGAATTGGACTTCGTGTTAATTTGTAAGTCTGTCTTTTGGTTCACAACCGCAGAATAGCCAACCGGTCCTACCAATTCCAAGCAACAACCAAGGGATTCAATCAGTCCAACAGCAGCAGCAGCAACAGCAACTTCTTTCACAGATGCAACAAGAGAAGCAGATTCAGCGTCAACAGTTGACGGGGGTAGGTCCACAGGCTACAGGAAGCATGTTCCGGCCTACTAATAATGCACAATCACCACTTCAACACAACCCAGGAGTTTTACAGCAAACTCTTGCAGGGACCCTACTGCAATCAACTGTGGTACCTACATTGCAGCCTGTAGGAGCTGCAATGCCTACCAGCAGTACAGGGCTAATTGGTGAAAATGGATTGATCGGCTTGTCGGCAAATTCTGTAAGCATCTTTGATAATGTTTTTTTAACACAACCATTCTTAAGTGAAACCTAGCCATTAACATCCTTGTATAATTGGACTTGCTGTTAAGTTCAAATTTTCTCGTTTAGTTCCTCATGTTGCATGCTTTCAATGCATTTGTTATACAGAATGTACCCGGCAATGTACGCAATCCGGCATGAATCTACCGCAGCCCGATGTAGTTCACAATTTGGGATAAATACGTATCAGCAGAGCCCCAATAACACGTTACAGCAGAATGGTGGCTCTGTTACTTCATTGCCACGTCAGAATAACGCAATTCAGCAGCAGCAAGAGCAGCCAGCGGTTACAAGCTCAACACGCCCAGCAACAGCGCCTAGTTCAGCAGCAGGTTGTTTTGTTTTGTTTTATGGTGTGTATGTTTGTTTGTTTTCCCCTTTCTTCTTCTCCTTCTCCCTCTGTTGTTTGTTTTAATCATTTTCATTGTTTTGATCTTTTTTCCGGGTAGACGGGAGGATCGCCGCTTGTAGCCATCATTTTGGTTTTTAGCACTTGGAAAACTTAGGCGATTGAACGTTTGAATATGTCTGAGATTGTTGGTATAGGTCGGGCTCTTTTGTGTAGATTTAGTTTAGGCTTTTTGATGACATTATGTGATATTAGTACAGGACATGCAGCAACGGCAGCTACAGCAGCAGCAGCAACGTCAGCTAAATCACCAGAATAACCAGGCTGTTCAGCTGCAGGGGTTTGGCGTCCTGTTGGTGTGTGCCGCTATTGCACTATCTTTTTTCTGCTCAACGCAGTCACAGTAATATTTTATACTGCGTATTTGAGTATTAATGAGAAGGCTGTCTTATTTAAGAAAAAGAGTATATACATGCTGCATCCTGTCCTTTTCAGTGAAGTTTTCAAGTGGTTTAATGATTCAAAGTGAAGCTGTCATAATCGTGTGTTGTAATTTTGTGATGAACCCTCAGACGGGGACGCCGTCACAAACAATTCGGATACCATCTCCCTCGACAGTTTCGGCCACTCCTGCAACTCAGGATGAGGCAGACCATCAGGGTCCCACGCCTGCCACAAACAGCACAATACCATGCACCATGCAGGCTTTGCAAACAGCTATTCGTAGTACAGGACCAATAAATACCCCTGGTATGTCAGTGTCACCGCTTATGGAAAACACGTTGTCCCCAAGTCCTGGCCAGTTACTGACGGTACACGATGCTGTTCAAACCTTTTCTCCTGGGTTGCCACTCATAGATGGGACTATCTCAACTGAACATTCGCTTGAGCAATTGAAGAAAAAGGTTCGTCTTCCCCTTTTGAGATCGTCCTCGTTTGCCTGTGTCACGCTTGACCAATTCTTCTTCCTTATACAATGATCGAGCACAGTAGATTCATAGCCCCTCCATCGTCAATCTCAATGGTAATCGCTGAATTTAACTGCCTGTGATTCGTCTTGCAGGTTGATTCCATGCCAAAGGAAATTCTCAAGGAAGCTGTGAATGCGTTGAATGATGTGGTCAGTTGTGGAGATAAATTGGAAGGCTCTGCCCCAGGTACTGGTTCTCGCGCTGCAATCGGGGAAGATTTATCAGCCAAGACAAGGTCAACGATCCAGGCCCGAGCAATCTCACATGATACTAGAAATGCCGCAACGAAGAGACGACGTGTAGATTCAATTGCTGTAAACATGATATCTGCAGATGGAACAATTTCCAACGCTCTGCACAGGCATCGTTACAACACACATGTTGGGAATCACATGGTTTCACATATCAACAGCCCTCTTCTAAAGGTTGAAACTCCTAAATGATTTCCTGGAATGGCAGTCTTGGTTTTTTCTATTCACAAACTCCCATTATTCTCTGCTAATGTTCGTTTGCATATGTTACTGAAAATTGTGAACTTTGAATACGTGCTCGAATTTGTTAGTATACCAATTCTAAGGACTTGCTAATTACGTTGTACCAGATCACAGAAAGCTTGGAGGAGGAAATAAGGTACATCAATAGTCGCTCAATTGATACTGTTGTTGAAGTTAGCACCGAGGCTACAGAGGAGAATGCATCACAGGGCTGGAATGGCATTGTGCTTTCTTGCTGTTACAAGGGCAACGCATTGAGTCCCAATGTGTCTTATCTTCAAGCTAAAGAATATGCTCTGGTAATTTCCCCAGGCGGTGCTCAATTTTCATGGTGGATGTCATCGGTGTGCAAATGGTATTTTTTTTAATTTTTTTCATGTATGTTCTAAATTGTCTGTATCTCCTTCAATAATTTTTTTATGGATAAAAGAACGGCACATTGAATTTTCACTGTTGGTGAGGATCCCTTATCTTGTGCTCTCGATGTTGCTAATAACTAACATTAATTGGAACCGATTTTGTAAATGGCAGTTATCGAGGACATCTCTCTATTTGACAGTACTACCTACTTACCCTGCATGTTCGCCACATGTTTGGTTTGACAATTCAAATCCTCAAGCAATGTAAGGAATCAATTCACTTTTTCTATTGGTTGTATTTTGGTCTGCCTTGCAAAAGCTATCATTTTTAGCATTGTTTTCAACATTTTTTTTCTATACGATTTGAGATAATCCAGTGTCTTTTGAATGGCGCTCAGAAATGGTGCACATTGAGTAGCACAGTGTACTTTTAGTCACTTCATCACATCATGAATTCAGAATCATCCATCCTCCACATTCAAAATTGGTACTGTGCTGATGAAGTCCTGGGTTTCTGCAGTCACTATTGTTTCAGGGGTGCACAGGAGGAATTTATGAGGAGTCTTCTTCGCATGGCCTCGCCCTTGCCTCTTGCTACCATTGCAACCAGCTGGGATGAATGTGCTCGAAAATCTTTGAGTATGCTTATCAGCAAGGGGGTGGCAACTTCACCACTGCGTATGGAGCGTGGGAGACAGCCCATCAGATCGCATGTAAACCGGTTTCTTAAATGCGTATCGTTCCTCCCCAGTAATCGAGATACTGTAGTGCTGCAAGTGTGCTGGCTGTAAAAGTTTTTGGGAACGTTTGGTATATTAGTGTACAATTTTGGGAACGGTTTTCGCCAATCCTACTGGTCAAAGTACGGGGAGTCATAGTCTCTGGTAATTCATTACAGGCTAGTCTCTGAATAAGTTTAATCTAGTATTGTGTTTTTTTAGAATTAGGTGCGGCATCCTGAATTATATGTCGATGGTGAATATCAAGGGACTTCGCTGGGAATTGACAGTAGTAATCCTCTACGAGATAGCAAGTTAATGTACAAAAAGATACTGTACATAAGATACTTCATTTTTTGATCCCAAGAAGCTACATCTAGTTAAGTTCACTACGCCACTCAAGTGTCTCCGGTAGGAATGTCTGCTAGTGTGAATTTACCAGTAAGTTAGAGCTGCTGAAGTGGCAACTTTGTCGAAATTACTTTGCAATAAATATGTACTATTTACCACAGTGCACCAGTTTGTTGCACATTGAGAAAAGTATTATGGAGAATTTTATCAGCAAGTATCTAGTTTCAATTAATAGTAGTTTTTTTTACATTGGTCTTCGTCGATGATAATGATCAGTTTCTAGAATGTTATTTTGCACGAGCATTAATCATTTCATTGCATTTTCAATCCTATCGAAAGTGCAAGGCATTTTTTAGTGAGGATTACAGGAATTAGAGCAATTTTTTCTGCAACTGAACAAATGCTTATATTATTAGGATAGGAATTTTACAAACTCATTGCGCACAACATTTTCACTTGAGTGGCGGAGTAATATCTAACTACTATCCTAAGTTACTAAAGCATTTTCAGATACACATGAATTGATTGACCTGTTTATATACAACTGTTACAAATGACTGCTCATAAGCGTTCCCCAAGGTCGGCGACTTCATTTTCACACAGTAGATGAAGTTGTTGTCAATTGGCCCCTACATTTCACGTTGAATCAGTGAAGTCTGCATCAATCACCTCAGCATCATCTCCAGGAGGTGATGAAGCAGCTCCGGAACCAGGTTGTGCAGGGCCTGCGTGTGCAGCGCCGCTTCCATATATTGCTTGTCCAATTTGCATTACTTCTTGTTGTAACGCTTCTTGAGCTCTTTTCATTTTTTCCACATCCTCTGTCTTCGCGGCTTCCTTGAGATCGACCACCTTCGTTTCCACACGACTCTTCAGGTCTGCTGGAACTTTGTCACTCAGTTCCTTCAACTGCTTCTCTGCCTGATAAATCATACTATCACTCTGCATACAGAAGTACCAGAAGATGCATGTATGTCAGGTCCATTGATCGATTGCTCGATAAACATGTTTAACATCAGTGAATGCCTGAGCTGATTAACCCCATAGAAAATGAGCGTCAGGAAAATTGACTAGAAGAAATGTAATACAATCCTACAAAACGTATTCATTACAGTTACATAAGAATTACCTGATTTTTTAAATCAATAACCTCCCTGCGTTTCTTATCTTCTTCTGCATTTCTTTCTGCTTCTTGGACCATTCTCTCCACCTACAATCAAAAACAAGGACAGTAAAAATTCAAATTTGATGAAAACTAAAGTATGTCAACTATCTCAATGATCTTGCATTCGATACCGCACTCAAAAGTTCAAACATAACGCTACAGCCACCTAACAAGAAGAGAGTTTATCAAACCATGACATCTGAGATTTATCATAAAATTGCTTACATCATCTTTGTTGAGGGTGGAGGCACCAGTTATCTGGATGTCCTGCTTCTTTCCTGATCCTTTGTCCATAGCTGTGACCGATAAAATGCCATTGGCATCAATATCAAAGGTCACCTCGATTTGTGGAACTCCACGTGGTGCAGGTACAATCCCATCCAACCTGGTCATTAGCACAAAGAAAACAAGCTTTGAGGAGCTGTTACAGTGAACTCTTCTACATCCTTGGAAATTGTTTGGAAGAAAAGCGTGGGACTCTCTTTAAAGCGCAGTGAAAACGGTTCACTACAGCAGCATTGTTCTTGCATGATATTTTTGAGGTATTACCTAATGCACTGATGGGTTCACATCGCAGAAGGAAAATAGGGAGAAGATCTAACAAAGTGCATCAAAATGAATGATTTGCAAAAAAGAGTTTTCGAGATAAAAATCTGCACTACCAACGAAAGAAAAAAGATAAAAGATAAAGGAAAAAAACTGGCGACCATAATGTTCAGTTGGGACTCGCCTGAAGCTTCCGAGCGATTTATTATCCCTTACAAACTCACGTTCTCCCTGGAGCACATTAATCTCGACGCTTGTTTGACCATCAGCCGCAGTAGAGAAGACCTGGGAACATCACAGGTTAGTTAGATTGATGAATTCTCCTGATCATTCCAAAATCGAAAGGCAGAAATATCCTACAATCCAATGCTTTATACGATAAAAAGAAACTTTTTTACAGAACTTCTCACGCCGCTGGGGAGCTGTAATCTAACAGGTATTTTGTTCAACCTGTATGTATCACACAATCAAGATGATAGAAAGCTCAAGTTCAGCACCTCTTTCTTGGAAGTCGGCAGTGTCGTATTTCGAGGAATGATCTTTGTCATGACACCCCCCAAAGTTTCCAGTCCTAGCGATAGAGGCGAAACATCCAGAAGCACAATATTACCAACCTCACCAGATAGAACTCCAGCCTATCATCAAAAGTCCAAAACAATAACTTACAAAGTCAGAAAAGTGAGCAATAGTTTCTAATTCATAATGAAGCCAACAGAGTAGTTTCTCAATGCAAAAGAAACTCCTCCAATTTATGCATAATAATCGTGTGTTGGGGTGGAGAAGAGACAAGCACCTGAACTGCTGCACCAAGAGCAACAACTTCATCAGGATTAACAGTAACATTTGGATCTTTTCCTGTCATCTGCTTGACCAATTGCTGCACACTAGGAATTCGAGTCGACCCTCCCACCAAGACAACTTCCTGCAAATCCTTGAGACTCAACTTGGCATCGTCTAAAGCTCTCTTTACTGGCTCACGACATCTGGCACAGTACACGGTTCGATACATTGATTGGCAGAAATAATTTGGAGCACAATTGATTTTTACACCTGAATAGGCACTAACAATGTTGCTTGAATACCTGAAAACCTCATTTCACTAATACCCTGCGCATTGACATCTTAAATATATCCAGTTTGTGGACAATCCTCATAAGATCGACTCAGAAGGGAGGAGACGAAAGAATAAAACTGGTCCAAACCTGTCTAAGAGATCCGAACACAACTCCTCAAACTTGGCACGTGTAAGTGTTGTATCAATGTGCTTAGGTCCCTCCGCAGTCGCTGTAATAAAAGGAAGACTTCACACACTCAAAGAAAACAAAGTTTAGGCAGTACATATCCAACCTAACTAGTCTTGTGCCGCTGAATGGGTAAGATTGCCATGAAATTTTTTGATGCAATCTCATCTTTCGCGAACGGAGGAGGAATACTCAACATATTCAAATCAATAGGAGTGCTGTAACATTAACATCTTAAAGCACTCAGTTGGAGGTAAAAAGAGCAATAAGATAACCGAGATGGAAAAATATCCTACATATATTCGGCAACTACATTCACAAAGCACGTTAATATCTCAGGAAGCAAACTCCCGAAGTGGAGAACAGGCTCTAGATCAGCTTACGCTCGTGATGGACTTGGAATGTACCTGATAGTTGTCTGAGTGAGGGAGGATAATTCAATCTTAGCTTTTTCAGCACTTTCAGTCAGCCTCTGAAGTGCTTGAGCATCCTTTAAGAGGTCAATGCCTTCAGCGGCTTTGAATTCTTTCGCCAGCCAATCCACTATTCTCTGTACATTGAATCACTTCGCTCTGTCACACATTCGGACTGAAGACCTTGGCACAGTATCAACTTGAGAAAACGCAGAAAAGCTTGACTATGATTTTGTGAAACGCCACATTGGCAAGTCTTTCTTCAAGAAGAACACGTAAACAGATAGATTGTCTTCCCTCAAAAAGATATACCTTGTCAAAGTCGTCACCACCGAGATGGGTGTCTCCCGCTGTGGAAAGTACTTCAAAAACCCCATCTCCAACTTCCAAGACTGTCACCAACGGCACGTATGTTTCACAGCAACGAAGCATAAAACATTTACAGTAGAACAATAAAAATTACACGCGGTTGATCAAACGTGAAATCCACATCATAAAACAAAATGCTTCAGCGTTGGTTTGAACACTTGAACCTTTTTAGACATATCAAAAAAATAGAAGGGAAATTGTTACAGTACAAGATGGTATGTACTTCATATGAAAACCTTTGTACAGTTGAACATTCAGAACATGAGAAATAGTACCTGAAACATCAAAGGTGCCCCCGCCAAGGTCAAAGACCAAGATAGTTTCGTTTTTCTTCTTGTCGAAACCATATGCCAACGATGCCGCAGTGGGTTCGTTGATGATTCTCAGTACATCAATTCCTGGTTAATACAGCGGAGCACATGAAGCAAAATGAAATGCATCACAGGATAGAACACAAGAACATCTGATGGGGACGATACTGAATAGAATCTTCTCCAGTAGGTGTTCTTGTGTTCCTTGAACCACCAACTACAGTGTCACAGAGTACTGAGGAGGTGAGACTTGAAAATCGGAAGCTATGTATCCAGGGGAAAACTAACAGAAGGTATTATGAAATACACACCACTGCAGATTTACCAGGATTATTTCATTCGCAAAGGGCTGTGATAACTTGGACTGCAAACAAGAGTATCTTTAGACACATGGAAGATTTCAATTTTCCAGATATGATTAGCAGCAGATAATATACTATCATTTTCAACTACTGATGGAAAAGGCTCACATACCAGCAATTCGACCAGCATCTTTAGTAGCCTGGCGTTGACTGTCGTTGAAGTAAGCAGGCACTGTTATAACAGCCTTGTCAACTTTGTCGCTTAGAAACTTGCTGGCATCGTCTACCAATTTTCTTAGAACCTTCACAAATTAACAAATCGCCCCTCAGAGTTACAGAACGTCCCGAAACACGAGTTTCATGAGAATCGAATCGTCAAAGGTTCTTAAGTAGACAAAATTTTGGTGTTTTCCCGCTCTTAAACAAACAATAAGTCATAAACCCTACAAGGTTTAGATACATGATTCAAGTCCATGTATGGGACTGGAGAAGTCCAAGAAGTTTGAATGTTTTAAGCGCTGACCTGCGCGGATATTTCTTCAGCAGCAAACTGCTTGTTGATTGCTGGACAATCGAGTTTCACATTACCATTGGAGTCTCGAATGACTTGGTAAGAAACTTGCTTGGACTCATCTTCCACTTCGTTCATTTTCCGTCCAATGAATCGCTTGACTGAGTAAAATGTGTTCGCAGGGTTCACTACAGCCTGTTTCACATCAGACCAATCGAACAAGTCCCAAATTTAGGGAAATCACTTTTCCGAGTTTATTACTAAATATGGACTCAACAAGATACAATTGTCCCAACTTGTCTGGTAGCTTCCTGCTTTGGCCGCAAACTCTTATACTGAAAAAGCCAAGAAATACAAAAAATCATTGATAGCTTTAACAATGCAGAGATCGCGAGATGCCATCAATGTAGCTAGAATTGAAAATAGGTGACAGCACTACATACTTGGCGCTTAGCAATCTGCCCCACTAATCGATCACCTTTCTTCGTGTACGCAACAACCTGAGTAGACACAGACCACAACATGTTAGCGTAGACCTTTGACACGCAGATTTTTGTCGAAAATAATCCTCATGCACCATGCACAAGATATCGCCGTTACAAAAGCCATATCTAATTCCGTCCTCCCGTCCTGGAAAGGTTAACACTGCAAGAAATCTGATATATCTACAAAGAACATTAAGCTCATATAAAAATTGACTTCATTCCAGTCGTATGGAACAACCGCGAAGATTCGGAGTCACGTGATGTGGAAGAGAAGTTTACCGAAGGGGTTGTCCTCTGGCCCTCAGAATTAGTAATTATTGTAGGCTGTCCACCTTCCATAGCTGCCATTGCAGAGTTTGTTGTTCCAAGATCAATGCCGACAACTTTTTCGGCAGTTACACGAAGAGGCCTTGAGCTCCTTTCATGCTTTGAATTGCATTCCTGAGTACTTCTTGAAATAGAAAAATCCCCTCCGAAGAAGGCTCTATCCGAAGGCTTCTGACCACGCAATGTGCATTTCCGATGCTTTGAAAAGCGAACTTTGTAGACGACACTCCCCTGTCCTGCAACTGAACAGGGCAAGAATGCCACAGATCCCACCGCGGATGCCATGTGCAGTAAAAACACCGATGGTCCACCTTTAACAATAGTATGTTGCCCTGAAACATGACATCAGCTCCTGCGGTTAGCGCTATTTTGTCTGTTTCTGGCCTACTCATCCCAAGCTTTGAGCCTGTGCGCTGAGACGATTGCAAACATATGCTAAACAACTCACAGAATTCACAGTAAAGAAATTAAGACATGATGCGCAGAACTTTCGTGAGATCAATATTAGAGGTGAAGGGACAACATACAAAATAACACAAATTTGATAATGCTACTAAAGCCATAGACAATGTGAACGAAAGAGTTAATCTTCTTGGGAATGGATTCATGCATAATACCACTCGGATTTTTAAAAATCTTGCAAAGGAGATTCAGCTATCATACGTAGCAGCTCAATGACAGAAGCCACACATGCTTTGTATTCAACATCCAAATTCCAAGGGCAAAGGAGAAACAAACAAAACACACGAAGGTATGAGGAACAGACTCAGACATTACTGTTGTGATAAAGCAGTGTGAATCATTCTGCTGACGAGACAAACGACAGGCCGACAATCTAGTGAACAGCATCCAATTTATACCCAATCCACCATTCTTTCTGGACTGTCGCCTCAAAAAATCGAGACCAGCAGAATCGTCGCGCTTGACATTCAAGCACGAAAAAAGACTCTTCTCATGCATTTGCCGGGATATACGAACGGTCATTGAACTCCACTCACCAAAAACAATTCAAGAGCGAGTTCTCAGTGAAGTACCAATCAACCAAGGATTGAGTCATTTCAGAGGGCAGAGTACAAACAAAAATTGAAGAGACCAACAACTGAGCAGTGCACAACATGCACGATGACTACAATTGTAGTTCCAATCAGTAACAATCTTACGAACCAATTCACTACCAATGGCAATAGTTGTCAAAGCCCCGCACCCACGAATAATTTCTCAAACACTCATCGGCGAACGAGTACTAAAAACTGCGGACAATTCACACTCCGAATAAACAGCTCAACGTTTTCTCTTTCACCAGAGAAAGGATCCCAAATCCTTGAAGATTAGGATATTAAAATAATAATAATAATAATAATAATGTATAAAAAACGCACACACACACACAAAAATAAACAAATGCACTCTAAAGCACAGATCCTTACACTTCAATGACCAATGGATCCCATCCAGAAAAAAAGAACTCTCGAACGCAACTAATCATACAATGGCACCAAGCACGTACCGCAGTTCAATTGCAGTCCAATCTTTGCAGGAATGGCAGTAAAACCTTCGCAACAAGTGTGGTTGAAATCCACACATTAAATCTACTCAAAACTCGACTAAATTGACGACGTGTGGGGATCTATAGTGCAGTAACGAAGACACAAAGGAGTTGCATGCAATCCCGGATATGGCCAAGGCTTATTCTCGAGAAGGTTCTACTTCCATATCTTCTCGCTCTTACCATCTGACGTGGAATATCCTGCTAAAAGATGGATTTCAAGCGAAGAATTGGACGAAGAAAGCTCCAGTTCTTGCTGCTGCCAAGTGGAGGATTGTGGTGGATCCATTCCAACGTGGAAATCATTTTCTAGAATTGAACGACCTTCCAGAAATTTCCGAAATAATCGAGAATACGCAGTGTCGACGAGATTCAAGCTTCCGTATCTCCGAAGAGCAATGTCTCATTCAGGTGGCTACAGTTTGCGAGTCCATGGGTTGTGTCGCGGATGCAACTTTGTGTTGTTGGGGTTCCTATTGGTTCTGGGAAATCTCAGCTCTAAACTCCCGTAAATCTCAGTTGTGGTGGGTTAAAATGATATTTGATTCGTAAACAATAACAACAACAGAGACTAGTAATTTCTGAATGTCTTCTTGAACCCTCCCTTGCTAGGACTGCTCGTTGTTATCGATTAAACTTAGCTTTCACAACAGTTCCCATATTACGTTGGAACCGCTCTTATTTTTAGATTGTTGCGTTCGAGACAATTTCTGGAACACTTGGTGCGCAGATGGGTAGGAGAGTAGTGCAACATATCACAAAACTACGGTGTGCCGATTCTGGGATGAGCGTCAGACAGTAATTCTCGACTGGATCATCCGTGATATCTTTGTTGCATCTGTAGTCAGATTTTACAGGAAAACGAACAAGGTTGGTTTCGTTTCCAGGCCTCAGTCCGCTCGGTGCTTTCTACTGAGTTTGTTAAAACATGCCTCGTGTTAAACTGCAGAAGTTGGTAAGATCCGTCCACATGAATGGTTTCTTTTTAGTGCAGCGTCCTCGCTTATGTAGAAATTTCTCGGGTTCCGAAACAGGTTCTTAGTATTGTGGATACGGTCTGGTACTGTCTGAAGGCGTGAATGTAAGGAGGAAAAGCTAGACTTAACTTTCAAAGAGGAGACTCCAGTTGTTTGGCAGATCGAAGTGAGGGGGAATTCAGAGAGTATGCCTTCCTCATCACACACGGAAGATTCAAAAAGGTTAACGGTAACGAAAAGTACAATATAAGAGTCATGTGAGAACAACATTATGGCGGCAGACTAGAACCACACAGCTAAGCCTACAGTTAGAAGAGGAAACAACATTCCAACCAGAACATCCTGAAGCTCAATTTTCATTTACTGAAATGGTATGTTGGTACCCTTTCTCCCATCGGAAATATTCAATCTCTGGAGTGGTAGTTTTTTATTATTTTATTTATTTATTTATTTGGAGGATGAAACATCTTTAATCGAGGATATCAGAAACCACCAGAGTACAGGTAACCTGCAAATCATACTTAAACGGCAGTCCTGGATGAGAGTGACCTTAAATGAGGAGGATTGAGGGAGGAGGGAGTTAGTGTCCCGCATTTCTATGGTGCCCGCCAGACGTGGGTGACAACACGTGAGGGTGAAACAGCATTTTCTTTGTAGTTAACCTACTCCAGAGCATTTAAGCATTGTATTGGTTAGAGCAGAAGCCAAGAATAAAAGCTGGAGGGCCGGAAATTTTCAGCTTCACAGCCAGCTGTACCCTCGTCGATCGTACCCGGCAGAGCGTTTCTGACATAGCAGTAATCTGCGAATAAGCGAATCTCTTACTGTTTTTCTTATTCTTATGATTTTTATTTTGATTCCAGAGGCACTTACTTCTGTTGCTTCAGATTTGTAAACCGTAATTCTATGGAGAATACCCAAGAGCTAATGATATCGAGGCAACCAGTGCAGAAGATCTGATTGAAATTGCTTCAAATGTATTATTGTCTAATCAGGTCATTGGCATCAAGAAAAACGCTCTTTTATGAAGGTGATGGAAGCATTCATGACATATATAAAGTTTGTCTTGTTCAGATGAAGCGGTGCGGCATTGAATTAAAAAAAATCTCGCCATGTGTGCGTAAATATACCCTTCGTCGTGATCAATTCCTAAATGTACACGTGGCTATTAGCAATTAACTTTCAGTCATCAGCCCAGTCTTCAATACACATCCATTTACGATGAAATTTCTGTCAACATGACACTAGGTCGGTATTTTTCTAACTCCATAAGACAGTTATTTTCATAACGTTTTGGCAGGAAATGAACCCCCAAATTCGCATCGAGTGCACAAGAACGGATTATGAAGCTTCCGCAGTCCTGGCAGTCTTGAGCAACGGCCTGGGTCATGGAAGGCGATGCCACAAGAAAACTTGAATCGCCCATTTCGATTAATCCACATTGGGGTGAAAGCCCACCAAGTGCATGAGCTGGGTGAGTACCACAGCCAGGTACAAATCCCTCCATCCAGATCCTTCAACGAAGCCGGCGCCGCCCTGCGAATCTGCCAATCGCATGCCAGCAGGCGATCGATGTGCGAGGAAGAGGAGGAGGAGGAGAGCCTGGCTGTCGCCATGCATCCAAATGCTTCCTCATCCATCGAAACCAACGCCGCCCCCAACGAAACAGCGCGTCCATCATCCACAAGTCCAGGGCGGACCTCGCAGCACCTGTGACGATTCCGAGCACTGCAAACCTGCAAAAAAAAAAAAAAAAAAAAAAAAACCCAGTTCCCAAAGGCGGAGTTGTGCCCCATGGCTGCATGAACGACCTCACGAGATCTGCAGCCCTTCCTTGATCCGTATGTATGAGATGGTGGACACGGGGACCTGGAACGCGAAGGTGGTGGACTGGCACAGTGGGTGCGTGGCAAAGGCACATTCACTGCACCAGCTGCATTCATCCTGCATCTCCCAACAGTCAATCAGTCAGTAACTCACTCACTCGGCCTCCATAAAGTGCCCCACTAATCCCATCTAATTCAGCCCCCACTTCCACAGTTATGCACTTCATCACTAATTGAGCTCATCAACGCCCCACCCCTATTCTGCTGCTGCGTCTGCAACTGCAGTTGCTGGATATGCGACGAACACCACGACGCTATTTGGAGCTCATTTCTAACTTGGCTATTTCCCAGGCAGTGCTTAGTCACACTAGTCCATGAAACTACCTCTCTTGCATTATATATTTTACTTACAGATCTATATTTACTGATGTCGAACTTCACTAACATGCTGCATGTCAGCCAGAGAGTTTGAAGAATCAGGGCTTTTTGCGAGACGTATTAAATGCTTGTTGAATGTGCAAGAAAAGCACGTGTGTGTGCATACATGATCGAATGAATGTTGCGCCAATTGCTTTGAGGATTTTCACTTTTTAGGAGTGTTTTGTATTTGGGGACAAGGTGAGAGGTCACAACTTTTAAATGTTTGGATTGGTTGAAATTGAAAGCTTCTTTGAGTTGGTTTTATATATTGAAAATTAGGTCCAAAATTTTTAAGAGGAAAAGGTGAGATATAATGCATTTTTTTCCCTGTTCGGTATGAACAATGTTGTCCCTCAATTTTTTTGTTGGGCCCATTCAAGAGGTGGTGAATGGAAAGAAAAAATAAATCAATTTCATGCTAAAAAATGCTTCAAGCAATCATTAAAAAAAAGGGAACTAAAATTTAAATATTTTTTGTATAATTATTAGAATAAAGACATGAGCTGACATGTTTAGACTTGTAATTAAAAAATAATTTAATTTATTTCATGCCCTCTTCTCACTTTATAATATATCCACAAACAAGGGTTTCCAAAGGAGGTTTTTGTTTCACCAAGTGAGGAACCTCAGAAAGACCTTTGAACTGTACTCTTTCAAAGTAGGCTTGTAGGTATAAAATCCGCAATTACTTATAATGTTTTGGATGATTAATACAAGAGTATATTGTACATTACTCTAAAAGTCTATGTGAGTAGAATGTATTTTAAAAGTATGTTGTAATGAGACAAGTTTTGGTAGCATTGTTTGTATTATGATGAAATATCTTTTAAAAGTTTTTAATCTGTGAAACCAAATAACTTCAATAATAGTATTTGGAGTAAAATTAGAAAATAATAATATCACCATATTTAAATTTAAAAGATGCCATGAAGTTGGATGCAAATTCATACATACATATGTCTATATATAACTCTGTCAAAGTATCACCAGGACAGTAAATGTGGTGTAAGTGAGTGTTCTACTATATTATATAATCTAAAGAACAACGTGATAATAGACTTAAGCCACAATCACGACACCTCAACTTGATAAAAAAAATCCACTAAATTAAAAATATAGATAAGTGTAAAGAAACCGTCCTCCCCCTTTTCAGTTGTAATATAAATCAAGTTTTATTTATACCATCAATATGATGTGACAATATGAGGTATTTTACTAACATTTTCCAGTGGATATTAAGATGTGTGAATTAACATCTATTTACAACTGAAATACAACAGTATTTAATTGTAATTTAACAGTATTTAATTCATATATTTAACAATATTTAACAGTATTTAATTGTAATTTTAATTTAACAGTATTTAATTCAATTTAAATGAACCATCCAATTTAATTTAAACTCTAGACTCAAAACGGGAGCCCAGAGTTCATGGATGGATGAAATAAAGGACGAAAAGAAACATTCGTTAATGCGTGGATGAACAAAAGAATAGATACATGGATGGATGAGCGGACAGTGGATAGATGAACGGATTGATGATGGGTGGATGGATGAGAAATACCGTATTCAGCAGCTGAGTGCCCGATTCCCGAAATGCTTCGATAATTTCTAGGGCATGTGTGTGTCGATGATCGGTGGCCGAAGCTTTGCGAATCTCGCACCGTAATCTAGAGTATCTATTTCGTCGATTCGTGTGCATTGCTTTTTGGAAGTGGAGTTATGGTGGATTTCCACTTTGGTCCTTGTGTGGCTTTCTCGTGAGCTTTCCTGTGTTGGCATTCTCGGAGAATGGGGGACATGCCATCCTGCTTGGAGAATTTCGCCCTAGCTCCAGTCCGTGAGCAAGATTCACGTCCATCTCCGCGTCTGTGCCTTTCCGGAAAGCCGCGTATGTGACATGCGCCTAAGAACCTGGAGCTGCGTTATCCAGAGCAGATACAGATTAGAGGGGAAAAAGAAGCGGTGTCGATCCTGCTGCGGAGAGTGCGCTCAATCCACAGCAGATCGACTCCCCCCTAAATTTGAATTGGTTTTGCTGGTGGAACTGCAGTCTGGGCTTCCCCTCCGTCCATGAGCGCTGCCAACTGTAGTCCTGTGTCGTGTTTTTTCCCACACGATTGGAGGGGCTTTTTTGCCGCGGCTGTTGGAGAGAGCGCGGGCGGGCCATGTGCCAGATGCGGCGTATTGCACTGCGGAATGCGTCCTGCGGGTGCGAACGGAAAGAGCCGGCCTCATGATCCAGCAGGGGAGGCTTTTCCACGGAAGCACGCATGCGCGGCACACATGGAAAAATCCTCTGGCACACCCTCGATCATCACAAAGCGTTACCCCCCCCCCTCCCCACCTAATTAGGGCTTCCGACATACGCTTGCGCATCATGCTGCTTTGGACTACGGATGTATTGTGCATTCATACTCTCAATAGTACTGTATTCCAGTTTCATCAATATTTTCTTGTTTTTCTCAACACACTTTTCGAATCTCTTGCAAAGACTATGAAAGAAGTCATGCAGTTGATACCACTGCTATTGGATCTATACTGCAAGAACTCTTAATCTGTTTTTGCATGCTCACTGTTTTGTCTTAATAAACTTTTAAAAGTTATTTACAACTTGTGACCTTTTCAACTGAAACATATACAGACGTTAAGCAACATGTGAAAAAACAGTAAGAACGTCTTACCAACATAATTCAGGACTACTTGTTTGCAGAGCATGGTCGTGTATTTTTGTAATTTATGGATACCACCTCTTCAAATTGAGTGAAGAAATAATTCGTTTCGACTTAATTTTTGTATCGTATTAGAAATGAACTTCACCTGAACATGAACTTAAATCAGAAGGTTCCAGAACAGCACGCGGCAGATGACAAAATTACAACTTGCTGGGGTCCAAAATAAAACATTCATGAAGAATAAAGACTCTAAAATCAAAGATTAAAAACCCGTCCGCTTATAACATTTTTCACAACGAAGATTAAGCATATGGACTGGACGAAGCAGCGGTTCGTCGAGGTCTGAAGGCATCGATCTATCCTCCGCGGCATCAAGCTCAACTCAGCCAGGGCCCATCAATTCAACGAAGAGGCGCAGTGGATCTTCAAATTTTGGGTACTCAACCGGACTGAAATTCATCACGCTTAGGGGTGGAACCACACAATGGAGGTGCAAATGGATGTAGAGGCTTGATTATGAGCACGCATGAAAAGCTACCCAAGACTGCAAAGAGTCCAGCGCTGGATGTGGGACTTTCGGGCCCACGACTGCTGTGCATTCTGCGGCGACTGAGCCTCGAGGTGCGTGGATGTGAAGACGAATGGTAGCCGACACGGCGCAGTGGGACTGACGACGCAGGAAGACCAGAAAAAGGGAGTGGAGTGAAGTGGAGTCGAGCTGAGAGTAGGCTAGAGTAGGGTTGTAGTAGGGGATACTATACTGAGTAACGGATGACAAGGACATGCCGGAGTGGTTGAGGAGGTGCGTAATGAAGACCGTCAACAGCTCTCTAACCTGGTGCTAATTACGCCGCAATGACTCCTCTCCGGTGAGACCGCGCCCAATGCAGCGTCCAAACAAATCTCCCACCAAGTTCCGGAGCTCAGATTGCCTCTTTTGCTGGTCCCCATGAACGTGAGCCATGTGCCTCGGCGTCTGTGGGTGTGGACTCTTCTCTGATGATGTGGATAGCCCTGTGCTGCGAGATCAGTAGCGCTCTCACCAGGGACCCTCTCAGGTCAGCAGCTGGGAGTGTTTGTGTGGCGACTCGGATTTTGGGAATTGAAAGGTTTGGGAGTTTGGGCACTGCGGCACCTCCGCGTTTGGTACTTGCATGTCTCGTTGGGATTCTACGCCTGTGGTGAGTGCTTGAGTCGTGGGTGATAGAACTGGATGTCCATTGAGGTGCTAACGACGAGTTACTCAGTCGATACGGCGTGCGGCTCAATTGCGAGACGTCAAGTGTTTTCCTATTTCTTTTTCGGAGGAGTTCGCTGCCAGTGCGAAGAGTTCGATGGTTAGTTACGCTCAGGCTGGGGAAAAGCACTCAGCATCTTCCAGCTCGTGGTTGTTTGTATGCGATTGTACATCGTCGGGACACTCCTCACGCTCGCATCCACTTAGCATTAGATTGTTTGCAGATCGTAAAGTCTAAGCTTGTTATGAGATTGTATACTTCTGCTCTTTCGGCGCATCAAAAGTGAACCATTGGTATCTCATGAAGGGGATTGATTGCCAGGGAGTGTGAAGCATTTAGTGGACGCTGTATTCAGGTTTGTAGTTACTCTATCTTTCTACCTCCAGGGAAATATCATTGTAGCGTAAATGAGTGAATGTTTTGGAAAAATGAGCGAATAGTGTAGCAGCTGGGTGACGATGAAAGATCGGTACAGCCATCTTATTCAAGAGGATGTCAGTTCAACATCAAGGAGCAGTGGCAGGGCTTCCCAGGATTCCTCCTTATCAAGTTCTTGCGATGTCTCTATCGAGTATGCGTTATTGGAAGCCACTAAGCTACCTCAACTAATGTCGAGTTCTAATATCGAGGATGAGCAAGCTTTGAATTTCGCTCGGCAAGGCAGACCCTCTTGTTCTGACACTGAGCGGCGAGAGCTTGAAAATGCATCGTGGACCAGCAGCTTGCAGAGGGAAAAGGACAATGTGACGGACGATTTCAGGATCCTTGGTAGCAGCTGGAGGTCTGAGGACAGCGAGGTTCTCGCGCTTTGGGAAGAGAAGTTGGAGCACACTGGGAAGGCGATTCCGACTACCTTGGAGTGTCGGAAGTCCCCTGTGTTCCAACCCTCACGACGGGAATCTGTGAAGAGTGTTGTGAAGAGAATAGAAAGCTTGTCCCATGCGATGGCGAACAGCAAAGAGAAGCTGCGTACTTCATGGGCGCGAAGCTCACCTGTTCACTCTAAGGCTGGTGCTTCTCCAGACAGCCCACGCCATTCGGTGGACAAGAAAGTGGGCGGTCAATCGCCTTGGCAAGACTTCACGATAGACACCTCCCCACCTGGGAAGACAAGCGAGTCTATATTGCACAATTCGCCGAAAGCACGCTACCGGTACGGTTCACCGTGTCGGAGGATGGACTCAAGCGTAGAATCCTCTCCAAATCCCAGCTCAGCTCCGAAGCAGTTCCACCATGCCGTTAGTTGTGAGATTCGATTGGGTTCTTCAACAGCTGCGGCGCCAGCGGATTCCAGTCTACGCAGGTTGGCTGAGGAGAGACAAGGAGTCTCACCCTGGAAGCGTAGCAATCTGGAGAATGGATTGCACGATACTGGAAACGGGTTTGAATCGCCTCTAGTGCGACCAATGATCTTGCCAGGGTCCAGGCCTAACCGCGAAACATATAGCAAGCGTGCAGGTATCACTGGTGCCTCTGTGTCTGCACCTTATGCTTCTCAATTAAATTCAATGCGATTTGCGTCATCAAATCCACCGAAGTTGGATGACTCGGACGACCCACCGCGGACCATTGCCGCAGCAGCTGAACGAGCACTGTCGCGACAATGTACGAAGCTTAGCTTGGAAGCGTCTGATAGAGCGTTGTCCCGACAAACTACGAAAATGAGTGCCGATGCGACTGAGAGAGCTTTATCGCGCCAGTCTACAATTATTCGTCTGGAAGCAGTGTCCTTGTCTATGGAGAGATCCTTGGAAAGAACTTTGGAGAGGTGCTCTTCACAGTTGACGGATGAAGGTATGGTTAATGAGTATGCGACTGAATCAGGTGGGCAGCACGCTCGAGCGGGAACTCCGATTTCCCAAGAACCGGGTGAGCGGAAGGCTAGCCACAGATACTACCAAAGGGTTACGTCGAGGGAGAGAAGCTCTCGATGGAGCTCGTTTGATGGAAATCAATTGCATGAAATTGACTTCATTGCACCATCCGCTGCGAGGTTTCTGGAAGATGAAGGATGCGTGTCTCCTGCCACATCTCCTATTAAGAGGCAGGGAACAGTGCCCTTCAAGTGGGAGGAGGAGCCTGGGAAACCGAAGGGATTCTCAGAATCTGCATCAACTAAATTTCACAGTGCCCTTCAACTTCCTCCTCGCCTTGCATCATTGCATCTAAAGCAATATTCGCAATCATCGCCAGTTCCATTGCGGGACCGGTACATGAATATTTCGATGAGTGCCCCGCTAGCTGAGCTCTACGCCAACCCTATTCCTGAATCTTCGTCCTCGGAAGTCCAGCACATGGCTGTTAACCTCCCCAAGCCTCAAATATCCCGTGTAGTTACCACCTTGAATTCGTGTTCGACTTTATCAGAGAGGGGATCTGGCTTGGGTGCTGCTGTGGAATCGGTTATGACTAAATCAAGATCTGTCGGCGAGGTCAGAAGCGCTCTTCAAAATTTGTCTCGCTTTTCAGTAGGCACTGGGGATGGAGATCGAGGAGTGGCTCTAAAATCTCGCGCTGCGAATGCTCCTCCAGCTCCCCAACAGACGCCTGCTAGCAAAGCGAGGCCAACGTCTCCTAGAAGTATCTTATGCGGCCCGGATGATGAAAGTCGGCCATCGTCAAATCTTTCTTTAAGCTCTGAACCTGATATTCCTCGGATTTCCCCGCCAGTGGTGATATGTTTATCTCAGTGTAGTTCACCCTCCCCTGCCTCGTTCGACTCTCTTGAGCCCTCAATTGAGCATGACTCTCAGATATCGACTTTAGAATCTAGCCTGACTTCATCACTCCGCGCAAATACTCGCTGCAATAGTATGACATTTCAGGTTTTCGACCTTTCGCTTATGTCTGGTCCAGAGCGCCAAGATGGATCTGCGCAGAATGTGAATGCATTCGTCAAATTCTGCAAGAGTGGGAAGCGATGGGTGAAGAACAAAACCCGTCCCAACCGCCACAGAACAACTCGTGATGAGCAACGAGCATCACCTATTTCCGATTTCTCTGCACGTTTGGGAGGAGAATCTCAGCATGGACTTGAAGTCTCCACGACAGGTCGCAATGACACAGTAACAGAGTGCCGCTTTGCACCAACCAGTTCAACCCTCCCAGTAGATTATTTGGGAAATCGGTCTCCAGCATACACCGCCACTCTAGAGCTGCTGTCGCCAGTTCATGGAATTCCTTCTAGAAAGTCGACTCTCCGAAGGAAACGTGCAGCTCGAACGACCCAGAAGCCAACCCGTCGAACGCGACTGAGAGTCCCAATACAAGCCCGATTCACGGTGAGAGCAATCTTTCCCCATTACTCTTGTTGACAAGCACCGAGTTTGAGATATGGTTCACATTGAAGAATCTCTCTTTAATTGTGTTGCGAGTTTCCATGGCTCTGTTTCGAACATACTATGAATGTCATCAATTCTAATCCCAATTCCATTGTTACCAGGTTCCAATTCGCAGGGCCCTCAGGAGATTTTTCTCCAGGTTCACTTTCCGGCGTCAAACCGTGAAACTGAAAACGGCTGCAGAATCAAAACTACTCCACCATGTAGACTACACTATGTCTCCAGCGGACTTTCGGTTCTGCAAGGTACTTTGTCTTGGACTCTGCAGTTGCACTCCGTGATCGCTTGATTACCAAAATCTTCTCAATTTCTAGCGGAGACTTTACAAGAGTTGTGGACAGAATTTACCTGCTTATTAAATTTCCTGTCTTAAACTCATGATTTGCAGCCAAATTGAGAATCAAGAGAATGATATACGCGGAATTCACCAGATTCAGAAGGCCTCTGTAACTCGGTTTGTTGACACCACTTTCCTCCTTCAAGCACAGCTTGTGTCGTGTAGCAGAAACTGACCGCTCACTCTTCAAGTGCTGGTCCCGCTGTCTAACGCGGTTAATAGTACGTGTGCTCGAGACATCAAACCTCAACTCTGTCTTGCGTTGAGATAGGTTTAATACAACTATCTCTCTTTGCCTTGCACATAGATTCATCCTCCTAGCGAATACACGTTAGCCTCGGCATTCTGAATTGTAGCCAGAAGCACAAGACTTAAGTCGGCCCCCTGAGAGTGAGAACCGCCAAGCACAAAATCTTCCTGGCAAGGGGAAGATTACAATGGTCATGTAAAATAGCGGGGGTTTAAATTTCTAACTACAGTACAGAGATTTTGAGCAATGCTGCGGATGAGATTAAGACCGTATATTAGGTTCTCAGTCTTGCTTTCTACTAAGTTGCCGTAGCGGCGAATTGAAGAAACTCCACACTCTGGATTAGTTTGACTTCATATGGCAATTTTTTTCGCATTTGATGTATTTTGAATGTCCTAGTGCTGGTAGATTCCATGCGGTTCATGTTTCTCAACCACATCGAACTATGTTTCTGTAAAGTCATAATGGGAGTCATGAAATCCACTGGGCTCTCAGGAACATTTGCCCAGGTGCTCTTTGGGGTCTAGTGTCGAGGCCAGAGTGATCTCGCAAGGGATACCGCCCTCGTTAACACATGAACATACTGAACTGTCTCATTTTCTTCAAGTTGAAACTGTGCTCAAGCTAAAATTTTAGTAACTCAAACACAATAAGAAACCATGGAACTTATGTTCCACAATAATGGTGCCTCATCCGTGCGTTGCGTTTTGTTGTGAGGTGGAGTAGGGCTCTCAAACCGCTGATTCCACTCTAAGCTCGTAAGCTAAAATTGTGAAGCGACGGGCAAATGCCTCCACCAACGGGCATCATGGAAACCATCTTTACATTCTTTGGCTCGTATTGTATGTTAAGACTTCGTCTTGCAATGATGAAACATATAATGTCGCCATGCCCGAAGTATGTGAACAGTCTCGTTCTTGCTTGTTGTCAATGCGTCATTCAATACACGAATGAGGCTCTGTCGAAAGACGGAACTGGCTACGCTGCTCTTGTGGTACTGACTTGAAATAGCCCACCTCATTTATAATCAATGTATTACCAAGGTAGCCCGAAATGAAAGAGAGGGGTCCTAAGGAATTGCCACCACCTTGTACTCTTTTTCCTTCGGCTCCATCACCATTCCTGACCATTCACAGCTGCTCGAGTCAAATTCACAAATGCTTCGACGCCGAAATGGACATTCGTATGAGTTCCACGCAACCGCCTCAAAGTAAAATTACCTCCTCTCGAGAATTGGAGGGGTTCCTATGACCGACGAGATTTGATTCTGAAATTTGAGCCATTTGGTAAGATACTCCATAGTGTCGAACCTAGTGCGAGGAACCGCATTCAGACGATCTGGTAAGATTTTATGACAGCACTCTTGACGTACGAATGAAGACACTGTTCCATTTCAAGCGATCGATGTAGAGCAAAGCTCTTGCTTGTTGCTTCGGGTGAGAGAAACATACCAACGATTGAAAATTTCCAAGTGTTCCGTTTGGGAGGAAGCTCCACCCACGTTTTGCTGAGAGGGTTGCACACGATCATCTTCTCACCTTGTCGCACGCAGAGCAAGCCTCCAGCAGCAGCCACAACTCGTCCTTTGGAACTTGGAAGAAACCCGAGTGGGAACTTGCACCAGCTGCCAGCCTCCCGATTGAAGGCCTCCGAACAGATACCATGCTGGCACACTCGGAATGAGTCTCGAGGTTTCCTACAGACACGGGGAGTAGAGAACGTTGTAGAACCTCTTGCAGACGCACCGGAGCCAAGCTAGGACAGATTCGAGCAAGTGGAATGGGAGGTTACTCCAGATCTGGGGATCCATAGGCGCTGCAGGCTGCGAGGAGCCTCATCGTTTCAGGGACAAACTCTTCTGAGAGCTGCCTATTATTCCCACTACCTCTTGTTTCCGAGTTATCAATGTCCCTGTCAACACCATTGTTCTCCATTAAGAGATGGTTTTCGTCGTTACGGCCCCGGTCACTGTAACCTACAGCTTGATCAGCTGAAACTTTCCACGACGACGAAGGTGAACGGCTTGGATCCATGGCATGTTCCACCTCAAAGTCGACCAACCACGCTTGTGCAATTAGGATGGGGTTCGAAGCACACACAGTATGCGGCACCCGCATAATTTGTTTGTTTTCTTTTTAAACCTCTGCGCAAAGCGGTGCACCAATTGATAAGCATGGAATGAAGACAGTTGCACAAATGATTTATCAACGAAGTTTTGGCCTGTGCCATCGAGACGTGTAAGCATCCATGGTGCCAGAGTTGACGTCGCACGGAGCCGGATTGATCTAGAGCAGAGCTTCCCACCTCAGTCCCTGAATTTTCATGCTTTGGATACCCTTGAATCCTGGACACGTTGATCGGTAACCTGAGCGCGAATTCGGTGACGTGGGTGCACCCCGAAAGTTTCTGTTGTCAGGCCAACACCAAAGTAGTGGGGGCGCCTACGGAGGATTGAAGAGACGGTGTCTATGCTGGCAAAATGGAATTGCGAAGGATAATCATGGAGTGTTTGAACAAATGAATCAAAACAACTGGGACATGGAGCAGCTTGAAGGTTCTCTCCCCATGTATCGAATGCCAGAGTCTGCTGTCTACAGACTCAAAACGAACCGGCATGACTAAATCAGTAGAACGTGAGAACTTCTTGCAAATCAAGTGTCTACAGAATTAGGAGGTTCAGCAGCACCTAAAACATGCAGGCACCCAAATCTTCATGGTGTGCCCCTTCCTTGATGCGTCGATCTTGGCAACGGAGACTCCATGGTGCACTGGCTAGTCCATTCCACAGTATGTTGGAAGTCTGGGCACCCTGAGCAGACGGAGCAGAATGTGGACTCGCTCCCGCAGCATAGTAGTAAGCGGTATCGGAGGAAGTCATCATTTTAGCCCATCTCTTGAGGCTACAGTTTCCAGATGATAGGGTGTTTTAACGTGGCGTTATGGAAGATTATAAAATGGAGAAATTGGCTAGTTTTTGTTGGGTAGTTTTATCCTCCAAGCCTTGCTGCTACGGCGTCTGTGCTTTGGAACAAACCCGCCATCTGAATCATTTTGTGGCCTCCCCGACGTGGCAAGTGAGGACAATTTGTTGACTCGCCTGAAGCAAGGACAATGTTTCATTGTCAACAAGTTGTTTCTGATGATTTTACAGTTACCCCTTTCCAGCACGTCAAAAAAGCGGAAAATTGCATCATAAGCAGGGAGGACAGCGGAGGGCAGGGCAGGACATCCCTCCAATCTAGAAGTGTTTCTTCTTCAGCCCCCACCTCGCTTGGGGTCAAGATATGCATCCGAAGTGAAGCTAAAATTCATGCGTGGTCAATGCCAAGATGATGCAATCGACCGTTTGGTGGCGAGTCTGTATGGCAATGCTGCTGACTGAGCAACAAGCCTTGTTGACTTCAAACGTAGCTGGTAAAACTACGAGAGGTTGCAGTGTGCTATGAGTGTGCTTTGGTTAATCGTCACGCAGGCTAATGCTGAGTGTTGCTTGCACAGGTGGTTGCTTAGCTTGCTCTCCCAGACTCTTTCCAATTCCTCGATTAACTTCACTGTCGGTATAAGATAGATCATTTCCAGTGCACTGTTTCATCTCCACGTGGGTATCAAGGTCTCATGCGAGCAGAAGTTTAGCGTCTTGTCTGCAGCTGCCACTACATGAATCTTTTTTCTACATGCGAAAGGATATAACTAATGAAGTTATGAAGCCGTGCTTTGTCCATTGTGTCGCTTGAATGTGCCCCCTCCTTACTGGAGTATACTTAGTGAATCAGAGTATAAAATGGTAGGTTTTTTTTGAATATAGCCAAGATCTATTAGCATTTGTCGACACCAAATAATTTCTTTGGCTGCCATGTAGCAGGCAATATATTCAGAATAGGTTGTGCTGTCAAATAAATATTCTTGTTCCTTCAATCTCCAACTAATTGCTCCACCATTTAAAAATAAAACATAACCACTTTGGGATTTTCAATCATCCAAATTAGCCACACAATCAGCAAATGCAATAAGCAAATTTGATGACTTTGTGCCACCATAAAAAAGTTTAAAATCCAAAGTGGCTTAAATATGTCGAAATATTTGTTTTACAACATTACAATGTGCTTGAGTAAATTTTCTTTTGAAATGTGAGCTGTTACTTACAGAGTAAGTAATATCAAGTCAAGTGCTTGTGGAGGCAAACTGAAGACTACCAACAACATTTATAAAAGGAAAATTTTCAACCAAGTCATTGTCAAGAGAATTAATACTTCAAAGAGTAGAATTACAATCCATTGGAGTAGTAATTGGAGATGATTTTGAAAATCTATAGATTCTCAAAGACCTATTCATCCATTGTTAAATATGATTCTATCAGACTTGTTCTTGCTATTGTTGCAAGTCATAATATGCACATTTGATAGTTTAATATAAAAACGGCTTTCTTACATGGCCACCTTGATTTAGAGACTTATATAAAGCAAGCTCCAGGTTTTGAAAATTCTCAATTTTTAACCAAAGTATATTGTTTGTATTAGGCTTTATATAATTTGAAGCAAGCTAGTTGTGTATGGAAGAAATGTTTTGATCAATTTCTTATTACTCATAAGCTTAAACAAAGTTTTGTGGATCCATGTAACTTGAATAAATGGCTTTGATAATTGATGCTCCAAAGAAATTGAACTTAAAGTAATAGTAGGTTCTATATTTTTTGATATTTTTTTCAATGGATGCAGAAGATAATGTCATCATAGAATTTGCAGATGTATATTGTCACTCATTTATAGAATATTTGTAACAATCAAGGGAACAAAAAGATTGTAGTGCAAGTTAAATCGGAGATGATGAAATTTGTGAGTTTGATTCAATAAGAACATCACGAGAATTTTGATTGAAAGATAAAACAGTGAGAATTTCATCAAAATTCTACTGAGAAAGATTAACTATAATAGACAATGCATTGTATTATAAATTTCTATTAATATCCAAATTATTACCACAAATTAAGTTATTGCTATTGTACATACTGCCATGAAGAGCTTGATTGTCATTACTCCTACTGATTATATAACCATGATTTTTTTGAACAGCAGTTTCGTTGCTCCTACTAATAACATGATTTGAATATCATGAATATTATTTTTGTTGTTGCTTCTAATAAGATGATTTTGATTGTCATGAAAATGATTTTTGTTGCTCATATTGATATCACACCCATAATTGATATAATGAGTACTTTCATTGTTTAGATGAAAAATATCATTTTTTGTAGAATTGTTCACATTACCTTCATGTAATTGAAAATTGTGAGAATCCAAATCTGTGGTAATAAAATTTCGAAGTGTACTTGTAGATGGAATATTTAATTCTAGTAAAGAAAATTGTGTAGATTTCTATAAAATTCA